ATTCTTTGATTTATGCTAAAGTGTCATCAGTCTTACTACTTTTGTACCATCACTACAAATATGTTGTTGTTATGTGTTGTTAAATCACCTGTGACTCATAGTGACCCTATGTACAACAGCCCTAAACCCTGTTCAGTACTGTGGCAATCTTATTGTCTCTGACATATCTATCCCTATTTTCCCAGTCCCTAAATCAATCCATCTCATCGAGGGTCTTCCTCTTGTGCTGTCTTCACTCTCCCAATCATGATGTATTTCTCCAACAAAAGGCCTGAAGCTCCTCTACAACTATTGACATTTATCACAGTTCATAGAGTTTCTGAAGGCATGTTATTTAGAAATTAGATGTCACTCCTGCTTCCAAACCTGTCATAGTATGTTATTATTGTTATGTGCCATGGAGTCGCCTGTGATGTATAGTGACCTTATGTACAGCAGTTCTGAACCCTTCCCTACCCTGATCCAGTCTCACTAATTCTGATACACCAACTCCCATTGCCTCAGTTACTGTATCAATCCAGCTCATCCGGGATCTCCCTCTCCTGCGCTATTCATCCACCCTTCCAAGCATGATGTCCTTCTCCAAGGACCTCTCTCCTGGCCACATACTCAAAGTAATTGAGACAGAGCTTCAAAGTCCTAGCCTCCAAGGAGAGACTTGGTCTCACCCACTCCAAGACAGACCAGTTTGTTTTCTTGGCAGCCCATGGTATGTTCAAGACTCTTCTCAGTCACCACAACTAGAAATTATCTATTCTTCTTCTGTCATACTTAGTCATTATCCAACTCTGAAGCATAACAAGAAATTGGGAAGACCATGGCCTGGATTAGGCACACCTTTGTATCTAGACTGACATAGTTGCCCTTCAGTGCTTTGGAGAGGTCCATGACAGCAGATTTTCCGAGTGTAATTCATCTTTTGGTTTCCTGACTGTTGGTGTTAATAGTGTTGATTGTGGATCTGAGCAAGCTGTAATTGCTAACTACCTCAATCACTTCTCCATTTATCATGGTGCTGCCAGTTGGCCCAGTGCTGAGAATCTTTGTCTTCTTGATGCTGAGCTTCAGTCCATATTGAAGACTAGTCCTTGACCTTTTGCAGCAAGTGCTTCATGTCTTCTTCAGTTTCAGCAAGCAAAATTGTGTCATCTGCATATCATAAGTTGATAATGAATCTTCCTCCAATCTTGATGTCACACTCCCCCTCATAAAGCGCTGCTTCTTGAATGATCTGTTCTGTATATAGATTGAAAAGGTATGGGGACAGCATGCATCTCTGATGCACTACTTTCCTGATTTTGAACCATGCAGTGTTCCCTTGCTCTATTCTGAGGACAGCTTTATGCCAAGTATAGGTTTCATATAAACATGATCAAGTGTTCTGAGATTCCCATTTTCCTCAAGGTTAGCCACAATTTATTGTGATCCACACAAATGCCTTTGCATAGTCAATGAAACACAGATAGACATTCTTCTGGTACTCTCTGCTTTCTGCAAAGATCCACCTGATATTGGCAATAATGTCCCTAGTGCCATGACATCTTCTAAACCTAGAACCCAGGCTGTATTTCTGGTAGTTCTCTGTCACTCTACCATTCAAGTCTTTTCTCAATGATCTTCAGCAGAATTTTGCTAGTAGTATGTTCTGTTGCTCGATAATTTCCACACTTTGGTCACCATTTTTTTTGGAATGGGAATAAATATGGATCTCTTTCAGTCAGTTGGCCAAGAAGTTGTCCTCCAGATTTCTAGGCACAACTTGGTGAGCACATCCAGGGCATATATGTCTCTTGAAATATGTCAGTTGGTATTCCATCAATAAAAGCAGCCTGCACTTCTTCCTTCATCACCATTACCTCTTGTTCAAATGCTATTTCTTGAAAATTTTCTGTGTCAGCCAATTCTTTTTGATACAGTGACTCCGTATACTCCTTCCATCTGCTTTTAATGCTTCTTGAATCATTTAATATTCTGCCCATATCATCCTTCAGCATTGCAACTCATGGCTTGAATTTATTCTTTAGTTCTTTTGCTTAAGAAATGCTGAGCAAGTTCTGCCCTTTTGATTTTCTGACTCCAACTCCTGGCACATTTCATTATAATACTTTGTCTTATCTTCCCGTGCAGACCTTTGAAATCTTCTAGTCAGCTTCTTAACTTCCTGATATCTTCCCTTTGCTTTGGCTTCTCAGTGCTCTAGTGCAATATTTAGAGTCTCTTCAATGTTAATGATATTGTTCAATAATTTCTGCACTCTGTAAGGTCACCCTTCTTTGGGATGGGAACAAGTATAGATCACTTCCAGTCATTTGGCCAGGTGGTTGTCTTCCAGATTTCTTGGTACAAGTTGGTGAGAACATCCAAGGCAGCATCTGTTGAAATATGTCATTGGTATGCTATCAATTCCTGGGACCTTGTTTTTTTGCCAATTTCTTCAGAGTTGCTTGAAGGGCAAATAAGGTTAGTAGTATTATTGTCAAACTATTATGCAGAGTTCAGGTGTTGAAAACTAACCAGAAGTCTGTGGAGTGTACTTTGTGAAGCGTAATTCTAAATGATTCCTTTCGGAACTATCAGTTTCATGAAAGCTCATTTTATTATTAATTTTTGAATAATATAGTTATATATGTATATTTAGGTGACAGGAAAGAAGCTGGAGATAGGATGATAGACTTTTGCACAATCAACAATGTATTCATTGCAAATACATTTTACAAGAAACATAATCACAGGCTATACACATGGATTTCACCTGAAGGTATGCATAGGAATCATATAGATTACATCTGTGGAAAGAACCTCTGGAGAAGCTCAATATCAGCGTGAAAACTAGGCCTGGTGCTGATTATGGAACAGATCACCAACTACTTATATGCAAGTTTAAACTGAAGCTAAGGAAAGTGAAATCAAGTCCATAGGAACCAAAATATGACCTTGAGTCTATCCCACCTGAATTTCAGAACCATCTCAGAAACAGGTCTGAGGCCTTAAACACTAATGAGCAAAGACCAGAGGAGTTGTGGGAGGATATCAAGGGTATCATCCAGGAAGAGTGCAAAAGGTCATTGCAAAGACAGAGGAGGATGAAAAGACCAAAATGGATATCAGAAGAGACTCTGAATATTGCACTAGAGCACCAAGAAGCCTAAGCAGAAGGAAGAAATCAAGACATTAAGGAGCTCAACAGGAGATTTCAAAAGGCTGAGCGACAAGACAAAGTAAAGTATTATAATGAAATGTGCAAAGAGCTGGAGTCAGAAAATCAAAGAGGCTGAAATCGCTCAGCATTTCTTAAGCTCAAGGAACTGAAGAGGAAATTCAAGCCTCGAGTTGCAATACTTATGCTTTGGGAAGAATATTGAGTGACCCTGTAAGTATTAAAAGAAGATGGAAAGAGTATACAGAGTCATTATACAAAAAGGAATTGGCAGGCACAGAAGAATTTAATGAAACAACATATGAGCAAAAGCCTGTGGTGATGAAGAAGTTCAGACTTTTGAAAGAATTGGCTAATAATAAGGCCCCAGGAATAGATGGTATACCAATTGACATATTTCAGCTAACAGATGCTGCCCTGGACATGCTCACCAAGTTGTACCAAAAAATCGGGAGAAAAACCACTTGGCCAACTGACTGGAAGAACTCTATATTTGTTCCCATTCCAAAGAAAGGTGATCCCACAGTGTGGAAATTATCGAACAATATCATTAATATCACATGCAAGCAAGATTTTGCTGAAGATTATCCAAAACCAACTGGAACAGCACATCAACAGAGAACTACCAGAAATGCAGGCTGGATTTAGACAGGGTCATGGTACAAGGGATATGGTAGCTAATGTTAGATGAATCTTGACTGAAAGCAAGGAGTACCAGAAGAATGTCTATCTTTGTTTCATTGATTATGCAAAGGCATTTGACTGTGTGGATCATAACAAACTGTGGCTGATTCTGAGAAGAATGGGAATCCCAGAACACTAGATTGTGCTAAAGTGAAACCTATACTTGAACCAGGAGGCAGTTGTCAGAACATAGCAAGGAAACACTGCATGGTTCAAAATTGGGAAAGGTGTACGCTAGGGCTGTGTCCTATCTCCATACCTTTTCAATCTTTATGCAGAACAGATTACCTGGGAGGCTGGGCTCTATGAGGAGAAATGTGGCATCAGGATTGGAGGAAGAATCATCAACAATCTGTGTTATACAGATGAAAAAGCCTTGCTTGCTAAAACTGAGGAGGACCTGAAGCACTTGCTGTGGAAGGTCCGGGACTGCAGTCTTTGGTATGAATTGAGACTCAATATCAAGAAAACAAAGATTCTCACCACTGAGCAGATTGGCAGGGTCATGATAGATGGTGTAGAGATTGAGATTGTTCACAGCTTTAGTTTGCTTGGCTCCACTCTTGGCACTAGCAGCCAGGAAATGAAAAGATGTATTGCGATGGGAAAGTCTGTGGTTAGAGACCTCTCTAAAGTGCTAAAGTGCAAGGATGTCAGTCTGGAGACTAAGGTGCACCTGATACATGCCATGGTCTTTACAATCACTTGCTATGCATTGGAGAGCTGAACGTTGACTAGGGATGATAGAAAGAGAATTGATGCCTTTGAGCTGTGGTGTTGGAGAAGAGTATTGAATATAGCATGGACTGCTAGGAATTCCTGGAGAGGGTGACGCTGGCCTGCTCCTGGAAGCAAGGATGAAGCTTCGTCTGAGATCCTTTGGACATATTGCAAGGAGGGACCAGTCCTTGGAGAGAGACGTCATGCTTGGGAGGGTGGAGGGACAGCGCAGGAGAGGAAGACCCTCAGTGAAATGGATTGATTCAGTGACTGGGGTAATAATGGGGGCAGGTGTGTTGGAGATGGTGAGGTTGGCACAGGATAGGGCAGAGTTTAGGATCGCTATGAGTCGCAGGCGACTCGGCACATAACAACATAATATAGATGCTAAGTTTTAAAGGCTATGAAAAGCAAATCAATCTGTATTTCTGTGCAACAGAATGTAGAAAGGAGAAAAGAAGAACTTGATGAACTTGAAATATTAGAAGAGTGTTATCCTGAAGCAGAAAAATTAAGACGAGAAAGTAAATCGCTTTCTAGGGTAAGATTGCTTTATATATTTGATTGATTGATTAATACTTAGGTGCCACAAGTGGGAGTATTTGGATATGCATATTCTGACAAATTTTAAATATATCTATTAAAAAATCGTGTCTGGAAAAAGAAAAAACTCTTGCTTGGAAAAGGTGAGGTTCAACAAAAGAGAGGAAGACCCCTAACAAGATAGAGTGAGACCATTACTGCAGCAGGGGCTCAGGCCTATCAGAGATGATAAGAACAGGATTTGAGTACGTTGTTTGGTCACTGTAAGTTACACTCAATTCAATGGCACCTAACAACAATGGCATAAAAAAATAAAATCTGACAAAAATATTCTTCTATAGCTTGTAACAAAGTAAGTTGCTAAAGTTTTATAGAAATCAGTTTTCCAGTGTTTATCAAGATACTTAAAATTTAGCGGGAGAAGGATGTGCAGTTTCCTCCTGTGTGATAAATGGCCTCTGAAAACCTACTGGAGTGTCAGCTATTGGTCAGCTATTACAGTTGTTGTTGTTAAGCACCGTCGAGTTGCAGGCTACTCATAGCGACCCTATGAAGGAGAGTCCTCAATGCTTGGGTGTCTTTCATCCTCTCTCCGGGTTCATAGGGTTTCCGGAGGCAAGCTATTATGGAAGTGGATGCCACTCCTCCTTCCAAGCTTGTTCTAATCAGGGAGCTCCACCCTGCTCTCTGTCTGCATTTGGTAGTACACAACAAAAACAACAGTGCACAAAAAAAACAACATCCTAAATTTTTACAAAATGTTTTGTGTTTAAGCTAATCCTAGTGTTACTCAAAACAGTTTACTTTTCGAAAGAATATAGATAGAAAAGGCCTGTAATAATATCACAAATAATATTATGGTATAATTTTCAGTGAAAAAATTATAACTGTATTATAAACTATGTTATGAGATACATAGAATATGAAATGAATGAATTTTTTTTTATCTGAATGATTAGGAGTTACAAACTATAAAGAAGAATCTAGTTATTTTCTTGATAGCTCAAAGTTACCAGTTAAAGTTATAATTTATGTTGGTCTAAATTGGGCAACAATTTATATTGGAAAAAGGATTAATGAGACTTCTTCATAAAAAAAGAGTCCTGTTGTTCTCTGATTATTGGCCAGTGTAAATCTTGAAATGCTTCTTATTTCACAGTGGAACCACTACATCCTGTGTGATGGGAGTCCTGACCCATCAGTGCCTCAAGAGATGAATACTTTCATTAGCTTGTGGGAAGAGGAAAAAAATGAGACTTTTGAGGAAGTTATTCAGAAGAGTAAACTAGTGTTACGTGTAAGTGTTATTAATCTTTTAAAATGCATTTTATTTATTTTTCACTAATTTTAATTAAAGTTTACAGAGACTTTGGATTTCCATTCATTCATTGTTGCACTTCTCTTCCTGCCCAACCTCCTGCTTTCTTTAGAGTATATTCCCTGTACCGTCCCTCCACTCTCCCAAACATGATGTCCCTCTCCAAGGACCCGTCCCTCCTTGCAACATGCCCAAAGTATGTCAGACGAAGCTTCAGAATCCTTGACTCCATGGAGCATTCCGGCTTTACCTTCTCCAGGACAAACCTGTTTGTTCTCCTAGCAGTCCATGGTATATTCAACACTCTTCTCCAACACCACAGCTCAAAGGCATCAATTCTTCTTCCATCATCCCTATTCACTGTCCAACTCTCTGATTCATAGCATGTAATTGTGAAGACTATAGCCCAGATCAGGCGCACCTTAGTCTCCAGCCTGACGTTGTTGCTCTTCAGTACTTTTAAGAGGTCCCTTACAGCTGACTTTCCCAATGAAATTTGTCTCTTGATTTCCTGGCTACTGTTACCAAGAATGTTGACTGTGGAGCCTAGTAAACGAAAACTGTTAACTATCTTAATCTCTTCACCATCCATACTAATGCCATCTATCATCATGCTGCCAATTGGCCCAGTGGTGAGAATCTTTGTTTTCTTGTTGTTGAGCTTCAGTCCATATAGGAGACTGCAGTCCTTGACCTTCTGCAGTAAATGCTTCAGGTCCTCCTCAGTTTCAGCAAGCAGGGCTGTGTCATTTGCATCTGCTGTTGATGACTCTTCCACCAATCCTGATGCCACATTCCTCCTCGTACAGCCCAGCATCTTGGATTGTCTGTTCTGTACACAGATTGAAAAGGTATGGAGACAGAATACACCCCTGACGGACCCCTTCTTGATTTTGAACCATGTAGTGTCTCTTTGCTCTGTTCTGACGATTGCCTCTTGATCCAAGTATAGGTTTTGCATTAGTACAATCAAATGTTCTGGGATTCCCATTCTTCTCAGAGTCAACCATACCTTGTTATGATCCACACAGTCAAAAGCCTTTGCATAGTCAATGAAGCACACATAGACATTTTTCTGGTATTCTCTGCTTTCTGCCAAGATCCATATAACATTAACTATAATATCCCTAGTACCATGACCTCTTCTAAATCCAGCCTGCACATCAGGCAGTTCCCTGTTGACATATTGCTCCATTCGTTTTTAGATAATTTTCAGCGGAATCTTGCTTGCCTGTGATAGAAATGATATTGTTCGATAATTTCCGCACTGTCTTGGGTCCCCTTTCTTTGAAATGGGAACAAATATCAATATTTTCCAGTCAGTTGGCCAGCTGGCTCTCCTCCAGATTTCTTGGCACAACTTAGCACATCCAGGGCAGCGTCTGTTTGTTGTAATATGTCATTTGGTATGCTGTCAACTCCTGGAGCCTTGTTTTTTGCCAGTTCCTTCAGAGTAACTTGAATTTCCTCCTTCATCACCACAGGCTCTTGCTCATATATTATTTCATGAAATTCTTCTGTGTCAGCCAATTTCTTCTGATACAGTGACAAATAATTATAGAGGTGCAAAATGTAGTACATTGAAAATACTGAATACATTATATATATTTTTGCTATGTACTGTAGTTGGAACCAACTCGTAACTGGCCCTCCAGTATGGGTTTTTAGAGGCAGTAAATCATATAGGAGGAGACTTACCGTCTTTTTTTCTTCAGAGCATCTGCTGGATTTGAATGGTGTGCCTTTGGGTTAGCAGCGTAAGTCCTTACCGCTCAGCCACAGAGACCCAGTGGCTAAGTTAAACAGCAGTAAAAACCAGTGCAGCGGATATGGGGACAGCAGGGGTGACCTCCACTAAGAAGTCCCATCAAGCATAGCAACAACAAAGGAGTTCTGGCGGCATAGTCTATAGTGTGTTGCACTGCTAAACCAAACAATATCAGTAGCATGAAACCACTTCTTAGGAGACCAAACAGCCTGCTACATTCCCATATCTTCTTTTATTAATTCTACCACCAACCATTCCTCCCAGAAGTCTCATTACTACTAATTTGCTAATCTGTTGCAGTGGCCACACAGACAATACTTATGATTACAGGATGTATAATATTATGGAAATAACAGAAACACTTTAAGATACGAATCTTCACTCAGGATAGTTTCAGGAGTGTTCTCAGGCAGACCTCTCTCTGACCTTTGATTTCTCTGACTTTTGTTCCATGGTTGGGCAAATGTTTCAGAACTCTTATAGTTCTGCCAAATCTGTGCCTCCCTTGACCCCATACTGCAAGTAGCCGAGGCTAAGGCACTCACCTCTGGCTCTGTGGAGTAGCAGATCTAGCTCAGCTCTGCCTCATCCTGGTCTCTGGTTCTTCACTGCTTTTGCTGTTGGAAGTGTTATTACTGCTGTCATCTGAGCTGCTATGTCTCAATCTTGCTCCATCTCACAGAGTAATCTCTGTTCTGAAGGACATGCGTTATTCTCTCTTCCTCATTTTTCTCCCTCCCCATGTACTTACATGTGTGTGTAATTTTAGTGAAAGTTTACAGAAAGAATGGGTTTTAATGAATTTATGGATAAACATTTTACTGCCTCCCCTCCCCCAAAACCAATTCACTTTATAATGCATGTCTTGTTCCAGATTGTTAATTATTTTAATTCATATATATAATATATATATAGTGAAATGATGACAGTTATAGAAAGGCATTAGGTCTTTTTTTGTTCATAGAGTCACTATGAGTCATGTTCAACTTGACAGCAATCAACAAAATAATGACATATATATAAAATATATATATGCATATATATATATAACATATATATATATAAAATAATTTACTAACATCTCCATGTTAATGCTCTGCACACCTTATTTGTACATTCCTACACCAAAAATTTCAACTTACCTTATAAGCAAATTAGCCAATCCCTTTGGTGGACAGTAGACACCTCAAATTTATATATTCCTACCTGGCCTCAGTGGTGGAAGTCAAAACCAAAGGCTAGAAAAGCTACATTGAATAATCCACTATAGAATAAGCTGTAAAATGCAGCCAAAAAAGAAAAAGGTGAGTCAAAAGTTCTTTCCATTTAACAAATGACAAAGCTGAGGTGGGTGGGGGCTGTTGAATAGTTGACCAAGATTACAATCCAGCCTCTTTACTTGAGTCCATACCAGTTTACATAACTACGTTGCTTCTCATAATTTAGGAATTCACTGTGTATTGCCTGTATTTGTGCTCAAAACTAAATTCTGCCACTTACTGTTTCTTGGTTATGCTGCACTTCAGTTTTTATTTACAAAATAAGCCAAATTTACTTTATAGAATTTGGAAGCAGGAGTGGTATCCACTTCCTAAACAACATGCCTCTGGAAACTATCAACTTTGATAAATGATGATAGTTACAGAAAGGCTTTAGGCCTTTTGTGCATAGAGTAGCTATGAGTCATGCTCAACTCAACAGCAATCAACAATAACAACAACCATATAGAGTGATGATAAGGGTTAAGTGAATTAAAACATATAAAGCATTTAGTAAGTAAGCATTCCATGAATATTATTGCTTCTTTTTATTTTTCCCTGTTTTTCCTTTTCTTATTCAACTTCAATCAACTCATGTTTTTGCTAAAATTTCTTAGTTTCAGGTAATGACAAAGGCATACTTTGTCAGCTTGCTAATAATGACTTACTATACATGTAATTGAAAAAAATTATAGGGATTATTGGGGAGGGAGTACTTACTGTTTCTATGTTATAAATTACAAAGTACAGAAAAATTTTTCTCTCTTTAATAAATGTAAATAATTCCAAACTCAGAAGTGATGAAACTAAAAAAGAAAAAAGTTATAGAATGGTGTTTTTCATCTCTTCTTTGACTCTTTGTCAGAGCATTAATCTAAGTATTTTTCTGCTTCTAGTTAATTGATACATTGAAATTAATGTTATTGGAAACTCCACTATATGATTTGCAAGATAAAGACATAAAACAGTACCAAGAATCAATTAAAAAGCTCCAAGAGCTCCTTAATTCTAAGTTTAATACAGCCACTGAAATACTTCTCAGAGTAAGTATATATTTTGCTTAGATGTTATTTTAGCTTTTATAAGAGTTAACCTTTAATGTACATAATAAAATAATTTAGCAAAATTTTCCTTTCTTTTGAGGAATTAAACTTATGGAAAAGAAAGCACACATAATTATGCATATTTATCTGCTGGAAATAGTTTCCTTTTTTAAATAAATAAGATATAACAGATTTAGTTAATGTTTGCCTTACATTTGCCAAAAATGTAATGTAATATACTAGGTGCATTAATTACCCTTGGTATCAGTAATCAGAAAATCAAAAGACAAATTAAATGGGGAAGTCTGTTGTCAGGGACCTCTTCAAAGTGCTAAAGAGCAATGATGCCTATATAGAGACTAAGGTGTGCCTGATCCAGGCCATAGTATTTGCAGTTACTTGCTGTGCATTGGAGAGCTGTACAATGACTAAGGATAACAAACAAAGAATTGATGCCTTTGAGTTGTGGTACTGGAGAAGAATTTTGAACATAACATGGACCACCAAGAGAACAAACAGGTCTGTCCTAGAGAAAGTGAAACCAAGTTTCTTCTTGGAGGCAAGGATTTTTAAACTCCGTCTCACATTCTTTGGGCCCATGGCCAAAAGAGACCAGTCCTTGGAGAACGACATCTTGCTTGGAAGGGTGGAGAAAGAGAACAGGAGAGGAAGACCCTGGATGAGATGATTGCTACAGTAACTAGGGTAGTGGAATTAGGTGTGTTAGAATCAATGAAGCTGGTTCAGGGTAGGGTTTAGAGCTATTGTATGTAGGGTTGCTATGAGTCGCAATGACACATAACAACAACTAGGTCCATTTATATAATTTCATCTCCAGCCTCATTTCTGTCATCAAGGTCATATTTTTGTTTTTTTTTCATATATTGTTTCATGAAATTCTTCTGTGTCTGCCAATTCCTTTCGATACAGTGACTCAGTATATTTTTTTCCATCTTCTTTTAATACTTCCTGGATCATTTAATATTCTGCCTAAAGCATCCATGATAATTATCAACTCGAGGTTTGAATTCGTTCTCCAGTTCCTTGAGCTTAAGTAATGCTGAGTGAGTTCGGCCCTTTTGATTTTCTGACTCCAGCTCCTTGCACATTTCATTGTAATATTTTACTTTGTCATCCCATGCTGCCTTTTGGAATCTTCTGTTCAGCTCTTTGGTATCTTGAAGTCTTGCTTCTGCTTTGGCTTCTCTGCACTCCAGTGCAATATTCAGAGTTTCTTCTGACATCCATTTTGGGCTTTTCTTCCTCCTCTGTCTTTGTAATGACCTTTTGCACTCTTCCTGGATGATATGCTTGATATCCTCCCACAACTCATCTGGCCTTCGCTCATTAGTGTTCAAAGCCTCAAACCTGTTCCTGAGATGGTTCTGAAATTCAGGTGGGATAGACTCACAGTCCTATTTTGGTTCCTGTGGATTCGGTTTAATTTCCCTCAGCTTCAGCTTGAACTTGCATGTGAGTAGTTGGTGCTCTCTTCTACAATCAGCTCCTGGCCTAGTTTTCACAGCTGATACTGAGCTTCTCCAGTGGTTCTTTCTGCAGATGTAATCAGTCTGATTCCTATGCATACAGATTTAAGTCCTTTAAAAGATCTGCTTCCTTGACAGTAGATAGCTGCGTTACCTATTTAAAAAAATCCTAAGAGGTCTCTTAAATGTACATTGCATGTCAGATATAAAGTATTCGGCTACTGAAACACATGATTTATCTGGGTTTTATAAACTGGAAACCTTCCCTTCTTTTTTTGTTAAATTTTTTTAAACTTTCCCTTCTAAACCTGACATGTTTAGAAACCTATTAATTTTTCTAGTGCTAAAGTCTACATTTTTATGAGGTATAAATAAATAAGTATATTGTAAACAGTGAGACACAGGTGTACATTTAAAATGAGAAGTTAATGATTTTTATTTTAAAATTAAATGAAGATAATAGGACAGTAATCTACAAATGTTAATTGGAAATACAGTAGCAGCTGTAATCCTAAGACACTTCAAGAGAAACAGTGTAGAAAAAGGAAAGAGTACTTCCTTAAGCAAATGTATTTCTATCATGTAGAGAATATTGGGGAAAAATAATTCTTTGTCATTTTGAGTAAGAACTTGGAACTGTTCTTTCTGGTTAAACTACAATGCAATGGTTTGAATACCTGTTTTATGTGGATCTTAAATTTACACAAGTTACTCTTTTAGATGGTGAAAGGAATCCAACCTTATCTACAAGACCTTTAATCTTTTATGCTCTTTCTCTTTCAGCAAGCTAGTACTTTGGCAGAGCTAGACAGTGGAAATATGGAAAAAATTATTGAAGATGAAAATGTTGCTCTATATGTGTGGGCAAACCTCAAGAAGAATCCAAGGTACTTTTATGCTTTATACTTTCCATATAGTCAATGAACTTTAGAGACATGATTGTGAGACAAGAAGGTTTGGAAAAGCCAATGTGAGGAATTCAGTTAATAGTGGTTTAAATCTAATACCAACAGTTTAGTTTAGTCAACTAATTTAGCCTTGTTTACCTTCACATTTATCATAAGTAAAATTATAATGATATTATTTAATAAGATTGTTGATCAAACCATAATATATGTAAAGTTTGTAGCAAGGTATACAAGCCTATATTCAAGAAATAGAAAGTCTCTCCCTCTTGTTACTTGTTCTTCTTTGCACCCTATTACCCAATAATGATGACAACAAAGAAATAAAATTTGGTTGCTTTATGTTTGGCTTTCTGGAACTTACACACACACAGACAAACATATCTTTGTTAACTGTTTGAGATAATTTTTACTTTTATTATTTTAAAGTTATTAAGTATTATTTCCGTTGTTTTCAATAAATCACTATGTTTCATAGGAATGACAGTAACACTGATGCATTCATGATCACTTGATAGTTACTTAAATATTTCACCCTAATTGAGTTAGTGTATCAAGAGTTCTAAAGATGAAATTACCAAAATGAAAACTAGGAGACCAAGGTTCTGATCCCATCTCTAAAAGAACAAGTTCTATTATGTAGGAAAATTCTGTTTTACTTCCATTATTTAGAAAGTAACAACATAATTTCTAAGTCCCTTATGGTTCTAATTTTAATCAAAGACAACGTATATCAATCTTTACTATTATAAAGGATAGAAGGATGAAATAAATAAATCCGCATATATTGAGGAGAATAAAAATGTAAATAGGAAAAGCCTTGAATGAGCTCCCTGATTTAAGAAGAGAAATATAGAGGGTAGCTTTTACTAAGATAAGGAATAATGGCTGCAGAGCAAGTTTTGTTTCATCTTGATGCTGATGGTGGCAGCAACTGTAAAGTCAGTGAGTTAAAGGTTGGACTGGTTGAATTTGAAGTACTTATAAGACAGCAATGTGCAGCTGTCTGAAGGCATTAAAGTAAAGCTGAACTGAGAGAGTATATTTTGAGTGTCATCAGCATTATATATAAATGATTCTTTTTGAGAATTATAGACTCTTGTAACTATCAAATAATTTACGTATGTTGGCATAGATGTGAGGGCATTTGTGGACCTTGTAAAGTCCACCCAGAGATGACTTTTCCTTTGATAAAACAGCAATTCAATGCATAGGAATAATAAAATCCAGGGAGGTCTATGGAAGGAGAGAAAAAGAGCTTTGGGTTGAGCCCTGAGTAGTAGTGACATTGAGATAATGATTAGGATAGTGTTTTCCCAAAGAGGAGACTGGAAGAGAGCTGTCAGGGATGATGAAGAGTGTAGGATCATGGATCACAGAAAAGTATTTTGAGAAAGGCAGCATTGACAACTGAATCCCACAAATGCTGCAAAGAAAGCAAGTAAGTTTGGGCTCAAAAGAGGAGTAAAATTATAATTAAGTGTATATGTTTGTAAAAGATCTCTTATTTCCTTGAATTTCAACTTTTGTGTTAAAATTAATACCAGGTACAGAAGCATCAGATTCTCTAAAACACAGATTGGATTTGAAATTCCAAGATTACTAGCAACATCTAATATTGCACTAAGACTGTTTCATACTCATTATGATCATCTTACACCACTCAGCTGTGGTCCCAAACCATTAAAAGTACAACAGCTTACTTCTTCAATAGCTGAAATTGTCAAAGAACACATTCAAACAATTATAGGAGTACCAATCACCAAAGAGGATGAAGAGGAGCCTAAATCAGAAAGAGGATCTGTCGTAGCTTCTGAAGGAAAAGTTGAGGAAGAAGATGATGCTGAAGTAAAAACGGTAGGACATATTTAAATAAATATATACGTGTATATATGTATTTCCCGCCCCCTCCCCATGCATGTGGTAAGCACTTTACAGTCCCCAAAGCAACCTCAAGATTTTTCCTAGAAACTGTCTGGAAATCATCTGAATGTCATTAACTTGGTAATTTTGAATGGCATTTTTGGTTTTCTTGCCTTCCATTAATAATCAATCAATTGTAGGTGCTCAGCACATTAAAGCTCAGTACAAGAATAAATTATTTGTATATCTATATTTGTTCCCATTCCAAAGAAAGGTGACCCAACTGAGTGTGGAAACTACAGAACAGTGTCCTTGATTTCACATGCAAGCAAGATTCTACTGAAGATCATCCAAAAACGATTAGAACAGCACATCAGCAGAGAATTGCCGGAAGTCT